GGTAGTGAGAGTAGGTAGTATATATATATATGATGAGGTATAGTGAGTATAGTATATAGAATATAATGTAATTATATGCTCTATACTAGTATATGTAGTATATATAGTGTAGTAGTAGTGTGTAGGTGGGATGGGTATGGTATATTATATATATGCTATATATATGTATATATATATGCTATAATTATATACATATACTTATACATATATATATATATAAATATATACCATAATATATACTATATTAGTATTACGAGGTGATGGTGAGTGAGTGATATGATATATATATATTATATATATATATATAGTATGTATAGGTAAGGTGGAGTGGTATATAATAGTATGATAGAATGTGTGATGTGATGTGATGTGTGGTGTGTATGTAATATATGGAGAGGGGGGTGATATATAGTAGGTGGGGTATATGAGTATAGTAGTGAGTGAGTATAGTAGTAGTGAGTGATATGTATGGTGATGGTAATATATCTACATTACGTTTACATGAGTATGTAATGTATATATACATTATATACTATGTATGTATGAATATAGATATGTTGTGATGTTATGTATGTACATATGTATGTATGTAATAAATATTTAGTGAGTGAGATGTGAGTGTGTATATATATATATTATAGTAGTAGTGAGTATAGGTGAGTATATATGGTGAGAGAGTGAGTAGTTGGTGTGGGTGTATATAGAGCATATATAGGTATGTGGTCTGTGTGTGTGTGGTGGTGTGTGTGTGGATGATGTGTAGTGTGTATTTATATGTGCGTGGAATTACAGAGAAAGAGAGGATAAGGACAGAGGGAGCATCGAGAGGCAAGAAGACCTATGAGAGAGAGGATATTAATTGTTTTTGTGATTCTTTTCATTTATCGTTATGAGAGTATCAATTATGTCAGCGTTCTTCGGTTGCCGAATGATGTCGTCCTTGTATTTGTGCAGAATACAGATGATAGAGCACCTGTCGCCTCACAAAGAACATTCTTGACTCCTCGTTCTCTCTCCTCACGTCTCGTTGCCGTCACGGGTGGCACGGGGCGAGGGTTACTCTCTCCTGCTCGGGGGGCATCCGGGCGGCTGCACCGTCTGCAATGCGTGTACTGCGGAAGGGCGGTGGCTTCGGGTCTCTCTCTGTCTGACTATTGGTCACTTCGGCCGTGGTCTCCTTTCTCGACGTTTCTCTGTGGGGCCAGCCGGCTTCGATCACTTCTGGCATCACGGTCTCTTGTGGCCCGCCTCCCGACTCTGAACCTCCTTCTCTTGCACCTCTACGCTTCTCTCTCCGCTCTCCTCACTGCTCCCCGTGCGGTGCGTTCTTTGTGTCCTTTTTTTCCTTTGGCGGGCCGTATTCTGCCATACTCTCTTACCCCGCTCTCTCTCTGACTTCAGATGTGATGCTCCTGATCTGATCCCTTTTCGACTTACGCTCGGTCTGCTCTCTCTTTCTTTACCGTCGTCGGTCTTGCTGTGTGGGCCGGTGGGGGTCTGGGCTGTTCTGCTACAGGGGTCCGCTTCGGTCGGTGTGCTGGGCGTGGGCGTGGCGGTCTGGTGCGGGGTTGGGAGCGGGCGTGCGGAGGGCGGTCTGGGCTTTCTGGCTGTGTGGCGTGCGGGGGAACGCTCTTCTCTCTGCTCTTGTGTCTCGGGCGGCTGCTCCTCTGGCGGGGTAGGTGGAGGTTTTTGCGGGCGATGCTCTTTTCTCGCGCTCTCTCTCTCTCTTATCTTTCCTCTTTCGTTCCGGACGGCTCGCCCGCTCGGTGCTCTCTGCTCTCTCTGCTTCTCGGACGCTGGGGGCTCGGGCGCTCGGCGTGGCTCTGGTGAGGGCTTTGCTCTGCGGTCTGGCGTCAGGAGATAGCAGGAGAGCGATGTAAGCGAGCGCTGCAGCTCACTCGACACTCGTTTACTCATCTCCTCTCTCTCGACTCTCTTTCTCACTCTCCTCTCTCGTCTCTCTCTCACCTCATTTACCTCACTCTCTTCTTCACCTTGATCCTCTTTGTCTCTCTCTTCTCTCTCTCACAGTCCTCGGTTTGCCGTCCACCTCCCTCTCTCTTCTCACTGCTCTCTGGTTGCTCACTCTCGTCTCTGCGTTTCCTTCCCCCCCCCGTTGTTTTTTTTAGCCTGAGGGTAAAGCTAGAGGGTAGGGAGGCAAGGACCGCACGGACAGGCCCTCCAGGCTTCAACTAGGCCAGAAATCCCCTTCACCCATGGCTCCTCACTTCTCCCCTCATCCCACCTCCTCCCCCTCCCCCCATCATCACCCTACTCAGACTCGGCGCCAAGCCCTCCCCCCCACCCCTACACCCCTCAACGTGAGCGGCAACTACTAAACCCCGGGAGGGAGGGACGGGCAGGGGAAGGCCAGCAAGGCTCTTGGTACTACGGTAGTAGGAGTAGCTATTTGCTCACAGTCTTCCTTCTTCTCGCAAGCTTCGTTTTCACTCATAGGGAGTAGGGCACGCCAGTTTTGTCGCTTCAGGAGTAGATGCCGGTCTCTAGTCAGGTGTTCACCGCTCCTAGTAGAACGTGTCTGTCTATAAGGTACTTCTATACTCACGCTCACTTGTATCCTCTGCTTATCCACTTAAACAATAACAGACATCATCAGACAATAAGCCTCCACACACCCTTTTTAAGCACAGATTAATCTACCTCTTCTCTCTTCTTCCCTATCATGCTTTTTATCGCCGCACAATATCTATAACCTACCTTATAGATAATCATTAAATCACTCACACCAGCCTCACCTCCTCCAATTCACATAGCCCCCATAGGCCCATTCAGCCACCTACCCTCGCGTTCTCTCGTCCTTCCTCTCTCCTCTCCCCTCTCCAATTTTATTACATATATAAGATACAAAAACGAATGCTTATCTCTCATCTCAATTCTCTTCCTTCAACTCAGACTAATAATATCACAAAATCTTATCTAATCAATCCGAGCTCTCTCTCATCACTTCCATTTCTTTTCTTATTCACACAGGTTCTCTCTCATCTCTACTCTACCACTTCAATTCCTACCGTCTCCTATCCTGTCACCTACTCTGCCTCACGCGTCTCCTCACTCCTATCGTCTCTCTGTACACTCTGATGCTCTCTCTCTCCCTTCTCCTTTCATTCTCCCCTTGCCCTGCTCCCTCCCCCTCCGCTCGTATCATCCCTTCGCATTTCCGTTTTAATAGGCTTTGCCCGATCTGCCATTCTGCTCCCGGATTTCTCTACTCGTCTCTCTCTTCTCCTACTCATTCACTTCTACTTTTCGATCTCTCTCTCTCTCACTCTCTTTTCTTATCCTACCATCTCTCTCTCTCTCTCTCTCACTTCTCTTTTCTCACTCTCTCTCTCTCCTCATCTCATCTTATCTGTATCTTTCTCTACTATCCCATTCTTTTCTACGGTATCTCTTCTTTATTCTACTCCATACCTCCTCTATACTTTATCTCTTCTTCTTTTTCTCACTTACATATTATTATTTCATTCATCTCAGCCCGATTTCCTCTCTCTCTTCTTCTCACTATCGCGTCTTTATTTCATTACCTTACTCCTATTTTCATCTTCTCTACTCTACTGCATTCTACCTTCCTCTTGTCTCACACCGTCTCTCTTTTCTGTCATTCTTCTCTCACGCATCGTCTTTATCGATTGTTATTATTCATTTCTCTCTCTCTTATCTCACAGTTTCTCTCTCTCTCTTCTTTCTTACTTATCAATCTGATCCTATCCTACTTACTTCTCTTTCTCTTGTCCGCCATTAATTGTTATTAACTGCTCACTCTCTCTTACTTCTTTTTCTTCTTCACGCTCTTCTTCTCTCTCTCTTCTTCATCTTGTTCCTATCACTTTCATCACTTACTATTAATCATTCTATCTATTCACTTTATCCCACATTCACTTATTCATTATTCTTCTTCTTCTCCTCCGGTATTGATGTGGCATGGCCTCTTACTTCATTATGATCGGAGTTATTGCTTGCGATGCCTGTATCTCTCTGATCTTATGCTCCTTGCTCTCCCTGGCCTTCAGCTCGCGCCCTTCCTACTCCCCTAGCTCTCTTCGATTACTCCGTCAGCATCTCTCTCGATTCTCTTCTCTTCTCTCTCACATCTCTCTACTCTTCTTCCTCCTCTCCGTTTAACTCTACGTCTCTATTCTCTCGTCATTACGTCTTCTCCTATCCCGTCGTACCATACGTCCTGTCCGCCGGTGGTCCGCTTGCACGCGGATGACTGATCTTGAGACCTCTTCGTCCTAGTCAAGTTGAACGCAAGTTAAGAAGCATTTAATATGTTGTATATCAAGCACACGTCGTGCATGCGTAATGCGGACTTAATTTCCACTGGTCCGGCACACAGTTTATTATATGCGACTCTGTAGCTTATTGGACAAAGCAACGCAGCCAGCTTTCGAGGCACGTTGCGCCGCTCAGCAAAAACACGAACACACCAAAAGAACAAGCTCCGTTTATGTCGAATACGCAGTGATTAAGACAAGCGTCCGGCGCGAAGGAGACACGGACAGGCGCCGGCCCCGCGATATGGCGAACAAGAGAAGAACGTTCACGGCCTGGGGCACATGAGACAGCAACAGACTAACTACGATAGTGAGCGGGCGCGGGCACAAAACCACACAACAAGAGGGCAAAAAATAAAGCAATAACAAACACGCAACGAAACAACAAAAGCACTTCGTCCGCAAACGGAGTCGCACGAGACAAATATACACACAAATACACCAAAATATCACTACAACACGAAAGCAAAGAAGATACGCGAAGACGGAAAATCAAGAGAAACCCACGAAAAACACAACGCGTGTAGGCTGGCTGGATATATTCCGCGAGAGAGACTCTCTCCCTTCCCCGGCTGCTCGCCCGCGAGAACGCGTGTGTAGCCGGGCGGCGAGCTCCGTGGAAGTCTGCGCCGAGCGGATCGGAACCAGGGACACGCAGTAAGCAGTGCAATTCCTCAAACGCCCACGCTAGTGACTAACGCGAGGGCGCAGCCGTGGAAACTCCCGAGGAATCGAAGGGAAACGCAGTAAGCAGCAAGATCCCAGAAAACGCCAGAACAATTTTGCAAGTGAATAGCACCGGGAAGGGAGAGGAAGTGGCGAGTAACGTGATGAAAGCAAAGAAGAACGACAAAAATGGGGGAGAAGGCAGAATGGAAGAGCATGGAGAGACCCCGCGACCCGAAAAATTCTCTCTTCCGCCACATGTCGCAGGTTTGTATGAATTAATTTAAACTCAGACGCCCAATTTGCTTATCCATCTTAAAAATGTATAATTGAATGTATTCGCTTAAACCTTCAGCCTCTTCTCCCACTTGTCCTTAAGCATTTAATGCAAATTGCATTTATATTAACTAAGATTTGTGTTGAAGTTGAGCGTTTGAAATTTAATTTTAGATTTATTCAAGTATGTGGAAGGGAATACACATACGGCTTGATCCTATATCTGTACGTGTGTTTGAGTTCATACGTGATGATCATTTTAGCAGGATATCTCATCGGATTTGTTTCAATTGCAATAAAAAGAACTTCACTCTTCACCTTTACGTTTCATGTTATGAAGTCAAAGACCCAAGTTAGAGCGAACATTGTTGAAATTTTTAACATCTTGTGTCATTGCTAAATGAATGATAGTTCTTACTTTGTTAATCTCAAGATAAACTGAACTCAATTATCGTATGTTTGAAGTCTACCCCCCCCCCCACACACACACAGCACCGACTTGTGTTAAACTTCATCCAAGGAAGCGTAGGTTATTTGGCGCAGGTGTAATCAAGACCCCTAACAGGGGATATCTGAATAAAAAAAAAAAATAAAAAAAAAAGCGAGATTTTAATTTGCCATTTTGGAGGGATTGTAGAGATGATGTCTGGCCAGAGGGCTTGTTCATGCTGAGATCTTTCTGCGGCAAGACAATAGCTCTCTGAGATGTTAGATATCCCCTCTTGAAGTCCACGACGTACCTACGTGTAACTCGCAAAGACAACCACAGTGTTAACCATACATGTGTTATAGGCGCGGATCATTATATCCAAAAGTGTCTTTTCCGAATGCCTCCCTCAGGTACGAATGGTATGGTCGGTGTGTCAAGGTGCCAGCAACCTCCAGAAACAGGTCCTTGCCGGGCATCTTTCCTCATGTGGGCGTACAATGCCTCTTCAGGGACTTGTGTCACCTTCACCTACGGAGGCTGCTTGGGCAATGAGAACAATTTTAAGACTGAACACCAGTGTTCAGCGGCGTGTCCAGGTGAGGGGCTTTGTGCTTCAGTTGACATTTCAGAATGGCTTTGCGGTTGGAGTCGTTCGTTAGCTTTGGCACTCTATCTATATATCTTTTCTCTCTCTTCTCTCTCTCTATTTATATATCTATATCTTTCTCCTCTCTCTTTCTCTTTCTCTCTTTCTCTCTCTCTCTCTTTCTCTCTTTCTTTCTCTTTTTCTTTTTTTTCTCTCTCTCTTCTCTTTTCTTCTCTTCTCTTCTATCTCTCTCTCTCTCCCTCCCTTTCTCTTTCTCTCTCTCTCCCTACCTCTCTCTCTCACTTCCTCTCTCTCTCTCCCCCCCCCCCCTCTTTCTTTTATATTCCGTTCTTTCTCTTTATGTCACGCAGAATCCCCTTGTTCTGAATACTCTTGCCTTATGCTTCGCGTTTCCAGACGCACACATATAATGTGTTTGCCTCTATCTATCTACCTACCTATTCATACCTATATATCTATTTAGCTATATACAGTATATCTGTATCTATATCTATTTATCTACAACTATATGTCTATCTGTCTATATGTACACATCCTGCACACCTCATTTTGAAGTTGAAAAAAATCCCCGGCGCCCCCAGACGAAGTCCCCTGCCCGGAGGACGCAAGTAAAGTGTGTCGCGTGTCGGAGACGTCCTGCAGAAACGCCTCTTGCCCCGGGGACGAGCTCGCCGCCTGCCGTGTCACGCCATGCACGTGCGACGTGTCCTTCGTGAGCGAGGACGGCGAGGAGGTCGACTGCCACAAGGCCGTCGACGCTGCAGACGGCCCTGAAGGTCGAGGGAGCGACATCGACTTGGCAGACGGCAGCGGCGGGATGAAGCCTACCGAAGCATCTAGAGCTGGCGATAGCGGCGACGGAGGAGCGAGAGAGAAGGACAACCTGGAGAGAGACAAGGCGAAGAACAAAGCCATGGTGGACGAAGAAGAGGGTAAGTCCTTGTAAAATATTAACTATTATTTAGATCATCTTGAGCTCTGTGTTACTGACCCGTGTAATTTATACCCATTAACCTTATTCACTCTTTTCATTCATCAATATGCGCATAAACTGTTTACATTGTATTTAGTTAACCTTTCTTCACAGCGGCCGGATTGCATTGGCCTATCAAATCACACAAATCTTAGGCAGGATTCTAGAGATTCCGAGTAATTACCTAACGCAAGCAGATGCAGCTGAGGAGCGCCATTATCTGGAGACACCACGTAACGACAAAAATGGGGAGGTGGGGAGGGACCGCCACCCACCCTAGGCTCTTGTTTCATAAAGTTAAACCTCGCATAAAATTTTCGCCAGCGACTGAAATACTGCCCGGCAACTGCATAATGAATTAGATCAAAGAGTTATGCGGAGGGTATTGGTGGAGAAATTCAAAAGGTTTATTTATGGAATCCTTTGTAAAAGGTTTTAGTAATAAGTGATGGAGTTAGAATGAATATAATACGAGATATTCTTGGTTAGACTGATAAAGAGACAGTTATACTCATTTTTGTAGACATTGGATCATTAGTTATTTAGGAGGGAAAGCAAGCGATGCAGGGTTGGCGCAGAGACAGTAATTGATCCCGTTCATCCCCGCGGCACACTCCTCTCTCCAACCTGTAAACTCATAGGTCACGTCCTCTGTCTAGTAACCGAAACCGGTTTCCGTTCCAGTGTCTTTCCAGACCATCAGCAGTATATCTTTGACCCTCTGCTTTCCCATCATTCCTATGTTACCCATATCTCAATGATAAGGGTTATTGTTATGGACATGCCGTACATCACACTAGACTTGATCTAATGTCAGCGTATGATAGACGGCAATTCCATATTCTGATCGAGTGGTACTGGGCATACATATCTTCCTTTGAAGGAGCAAGAGGAATGTTCTTGACCTAAATCCCGGATTCGCCCTTTTCCGTCTATACACCTGATGTCCGTGAATCTGTCTTTACATTTTCCTTCAGAAGAGTGGGAATCAAGTGACGGAGGGGAGGGCGAGAAAATACACTGGCGCACTCGTGTGTTTTCTCGTTCTTCCCTTCGTTGATTCCTGTCCTGCGTCTCTTAAAGGTATCGTGGCTGCAGGACGTGGGTTCTGCCTCAGGAGGCTTCATCCCCCGCTCTTCTCACTCGCTGTTACATTACTCCGCCGCTGTTCATCTTTAGGCTTCCGTCTTTTCCAAAACTTGTTTGTTTCTATGATCATTCACGCTTTCAGTATATCCAATGGTTTCTTTGAGGAAATGAAGAATTGATACAATGACCGTTGTTGTAATCATTACTTTCATACTTTCATAATTAGCATCGTCATTATGGGTGCTATTATCATTATAATGATAATGATGATAGCAATAATATTAATGGAAATGAATATTATAATAATAATTATCCTCATCATTATGATTATAATCCTTATTATCATTTTCATCATTGTTACTGATATCATTACCATCATAATCATTACAATTATTATTATCATCATCAATCTAGTGTTCAGAAACCCACTTTAGGTCACTTCGACGAAACATTTTCCATCAGATTATCGAATTATCCTTCGAAATTAGTTGAGATAAGCTAGGAATTTCTCCCATAAGTGTTTTACCTTACCAAAGTTAGAAAAGTTCTGTAAGGTCGGTTTTGCCTCGCAGTGGAGAAGGTAAGAACGGATAAATTTTGGTAGTCAGTAAGATTTTTATGGAAGAGCGAGACACCCTGTCATAATTATAACTTTCATATACAGAAAGCGGTCATATCATCATCACCATTATCATTATCATCATCACCATCACCATATCATCACCATCATCATCATCATCATCCGCACCATCATCATCATATTCATTATCATGATCATCAATAATCATTACATCACCATCATCATCATCATTATCGTCGTCATATCTAGTGGTAGCAGTATCAATAACATCATGGTTATTGTTATTGATATTACTACTGTTGTTTTTATTGTTGTCATTGCTATGATTATTGGTGATGACGTAGACACATTTCGAACCGCTAGAAACTGCACCTTTGCCAGCAGCTGTTGAAACGTGACCTGTGGAATAGAAAGTTTCAAAATAGAAAAAGAGAACGAAAACCAAGAGGATTAATATTTATGGTCCCCTCATAGCGGGGAAAACTTTTGCAATAACAGTAACTGAAACTTCTCAAAGTTCTAGAGCAAAGCACATTAACATAAAGAAAATGCTAATTGAGAAAACTCTCCATTTAGAAGCATAGTTTAAGAAAGGAAGTGAGAAAAAGAAGACAAATTGTTGGAAATAGCAGCAGTAGTTTCATTAGAATACGTAGCAAAATAAAGCGAAATGGGCCGATTCTGGTACATTGAGACGAGGGGATTTTGATGAGCAACAAACAAACAAATGAGAAATCACAGAATTACCAATAGACCGAAATCAGGTAATATTTCGTGATATTTTTCAAATGGAACTGTTTGTGCTGAAGAAAAAGAATAGATCATCGACTAG